ATTAAATCCTACATCGGAGAACCAAGAATATGTCAGATGAGGTAAATGTCATGTTTGAATTGTTGCCTAACAACAACTTCAACCTGGTTACCTCTCGTGTTTGAAGGAAGCTCAGACTGCCGTAAAGTGGCGCTCTGTGTCACAGAACTCATTCAAAAACAGATCCTGCTCTTTCAGGTTTCACATGGGCAAGTTTTTTAGAAGGGACGCATACAACTCAAAACTCATTTAAGATATATCCAGTTAAGTTCTCAGCACAACACCTGGGTATATTTAAGGAAATAATCATGCAGTAACATCTCTCTTTACTAGTTACTGGATGCACTGGGTTTTATTTTGATGTATTAGAATGAAGAAAGCTAAATATATACTTACAGAAGATTTTTCAGATATTAATTTGTAACGAAGGTTAAAAAGATGTACTTTCTTCCATCTACTTTATAATTATGCTCTTTATGTTAGCTCATTTCATCCAACCGCGATAAAAGACCCACTGAAGTTTGTGGCTGCAACATGACAGAGTCTAGACAGATTCAAAGGATGTGAATACCTTTGCAAGACAACAAAGAAGCAGTCAGGAAGTCATTCATAGTAGCTGATGCGAACACTTTCTAATGTAGCCTCAGAAGTGCAAGTACATTAAAACAGAACCTAAGAAATTTGCAAAAATCTCATTAATTAGTCCAAATGAACCCTGGGGGGGTCACACATCTGAAGGAAAGTACCTCATGCCTCTTATTCTGACACTGACTCTCTTAGAAGCTTGGATCTGAGATCAACCTCAGTGTTTGGCAGACACACACACACCCCCAACACGCATACACACACATATGAGCTCTCTGCCCGAAGCAGAGGAAGCACAGGAAAGCAAATCCGCTGTGAAGGAATCAAAAAAACCAAACACTGCAGTAAGACAGACCACTCCTTACAATACAAGAGCTCAATGAATGCTAATGACCTGTAGTGATCATGTGAAAACTTACAAGGATAGATAGAAAGGGGTTTACTTACAGAATAAATCAGGCAGGATCAGAGGGACTGTGCCATATTATAGCTGTGGTGGTGAGTCAACAAGGGCACTGGGATCCGGGTCCACAGAGTTCCTGCACCTCGGCCGAGGGGTGAAGCGGATGGATGCCTGCAGGGGGAATTACAGGAATTGGCCCTTGTCATTAGAGGGGAGGCCGTATGGAGGAAATCTGGAGCAATCCAGTGTTTAGAACTCAGAGGAAAAAATAATCCATGTAGAGAAACAGCCGATGAAAAGGGAGGTTCAGTCCTTGTGTACAAAACAGAATGAGGGATTGATTGGGTGGGTGTTTTTCTTCTTTTCCTTTACTTAGAGAAAAAATAACAAGAGGCCATCTCGACAAATAGGAAAAGGAGGGGGTGAAAAGTCAGTCAATGAGAAGGGCTCCATCTTTTCCTTTTCCCTTTTTGTTTGTTGTTGTGGTCTTGTTCTGCTCTACTCAGTCTTGCTTTCACCCAGGGACTGCAGAGGGCTTATAGAAGTAACGGCAGCATCAGAAAATCAATCGCCTTGCCAAAAAACGAACGAGCATAAAGAAGTAAATGACAAGCAGATGAAGGGGAGGATTTCTGACACCTGCTCTCTCCCGCTCTCTCTGCCTCCCACCCTCTCTCTTTCCAACCTGGATTTCCTTTTTAGTACCAACCCTCCTTTGCTGTATATTAGGCAGTGAGAAGGGGGGGCCACTGACTTGGATGGATGCTGAAGGAGCCACAAACACAGGAATGCTTCTCTTCTCTTCTTAACTCCTCTGAAAACAGAGCGGAATGACAATGAAATGCAGAACGCCGGCTCTGCCAGCTCCGGGTGTCTGCTGCCTTTTTGCCTGACACTTAGGCTGTGTAGCTGTCTTCCTTTCTGTCACAGAGCTTCTCTGTCAATCCTTACAGGTGTCTGTTTACTGGGCCATAGTTTGGTTCAAACACCAGCATGCAGAGCCAGCAGCTTCAGACCAGACATAAACCTCAACTTCTGCTCAAGCCACCCCTCACCTCTGGCTGAAATCTTCCCACCCATGGCGTTAACTACTCCCCAAAACAACCCAGACAAATTACAGAAGGTCTAAAAAAAAAAAAAGAGGATTGTGGACAATCCAAGTTAATTCTGCTATTTTCTCTGACTCTCTCCTTTTGGCTGTACCCTTTTATCTGTTATTTTCTCCACCTGTCCCTCTGTTTTCTGCCCCCCCACCCCACCCCACCCTCCTCTTTCTCAGCGGCTGTCTTCTTACTCGTTATCTATTCTGGACAGTGTGTCCCTCTTCCCTCTCCGTCACTGAGGGAGGATGAAGAAGAATGGTGCTGCTTCATAATGTATTTTTCTGCAATGTAAGAGAAAGAACAGGAAATCTGAGGAAAAACATACAAGCTGCTCCTTCGGAAAAAAAATAAATAAAATAAAACTAGCCTCCAGGGGTTTAATTTTCAATTACTCGCTTTTGCCCACAAACGAATGTGGGGAAAGTGATCCAGCTCGGAAATGCGCCCCAAAGTGTCGTAACCTCAACAAAATATCCAGCTGATAAATCCACACACGTCCAAAAGCTCTGAACCACTGCTCAAGCATCACTGCATCATATTTCATTGCGGATGAAGTTCAAGCAGCTTAATTGCTCAACGCATTGACTGGTTTGTAACACGTTGACTCCTCTGAGGCCTTCTTATCTCTGTTTTCTGCAGACAGCTCCAGGCAAACCCCTACTTCAACTCTGCAGGCTTAGCCCTGGCTTGAGTGGATGGCTGGAGTTGGTGGAGGCGCTTAGGTGTGGAAAGCTTTCTGCTGAAGGGAACACGTTGGTCTCCATGCTGCCCATTTGGTGTCCATTGCTCCAAGGGTTTGGGTCTAGAAAAGAGAAGAAGAGGTAAAAAGTACAAAAGAAGAGGAGCAAGAGTGCATGAAAGGTTAGGTTGGCGGCATTTGTGTCACTTTGCCTTATCCCGTATGTCATTCTCCTGCCTGTCACACTCCTCCCAAGCTGTCGTCCTGCTGTCTATTCTGTCCTTGTCACTCCTTCTCCGACTCTGTTGCTTGTTTGCTCCTTAGTCCTCAGCACTCACGCTAAGATTTGATCCCATCGCTCTTCTAACAAGCTCATCTTCACACAGTCTCCACATGACATCTCTTCTATTGTGTGCAATTTAATAACTACACCTTTGCAACTTCCATGCAATTCTTTTTGCTTTCTTCTTTTCCCTCAAATCTATCCCCTAAAATGCATCAGGTGAAGCAGGGCAAGACTGGATCTTAGCAGGAGTCAGGCGCAGATTTAGTTAAGGTGTTTTGCTTTATTTCAAATTTAAATCTTGCTATAAACAACAGGAAAAATTCCATCCTGAGTGTCAGCAGAGAACAAAAGACTGCAGGACCCCGCATTCTTCGCAAACAGTATAATGTCACCAGTGAGCCGAATAAATGCATACACTTGGAGATTCTGGAAGTGTTATAACCTTGAGTAGAAATGCCATGGTTTCAAGGTATCACCACATTTGCATAAAAATAAAAAAACAAATATGTATAACAGGTTCCAGCTGCCTTGGATTTAAAACAAGAGAGCAGAATGCTGCTAAAATAATGTCAATTATTGACTATTGCAGTTAAAAAAGTTATAAGTATAACATTTGTTTATAGTTATTGTAAAAGTATATGTACACTTAAGCAAATATATGATATAAACATATTTATTATGTGCCATATGTAGCATCTCAAAACCAAAACAAGCTGATGTAAGTTAGTCAATTAGTTGAGCTAACTGTTAAGGTAGAACTTGCAGTCCTAACAGGCAATTGTGGTTTACAAAAGTGGTTTAAATATTTTGTTTGTTTGTTTTTTCCTTTTCTTTTTTTATTGTAGTGGGGGAAATTTAAATATAAGCACAGAAACAAGTAAGGGGGGCTAAGTCTTAGTTCTCCATCCAAGCACGGCTCCAGTTACCCTGACACACTTTCTCTGTCATCTTACCAGGAGAACCAATCGACATGCTTGTTCAAAGGTTGTTCAACTTTTTTTCTAAGAATTTTAAGATATAAAAAAGAAAAAGAAATGTGTTGAGGGTTCTTTGATAGGGGATAGCAGCTTCGAATCGAGCTGAAAGTAAAAAAAAATTACAAGGTTATACCAATGTGTGCTTTAAATTGCATGTCTCTCACCTATATCAGATTTCTATTCACATCAAAGTAAGTGCATCAGAGCATATGCTGATTGATGATGCATGGTGGGAGTTTTGAGTTTTGATGCTTTTAGTGAAAGGGAGAAAAGCACAAAAAAGTAAAAGATTTATAATATGACTAGAAGCTTACTAACCTTATTGAAAGGACTTTAAATTACAGAAAAGTTTGTAGAATTTCAGCGCACAGAAGTCCTGATTATTAGTTCTATAAGTGAACTTCTGTTTGAATCAAGAAAAAATTTGCTGGTGATTTTAAGCAAAAGTAAAACAAATTATGTTGGTCAGGTTATGCTGTATGGATGCTAAAGACAACACTTTTATAATATGATCATTTAAAATATCTATGCATTAATGCAAAGATGCCCTGTGATAGACTGGCAACCTGTCCAGGGTTTACCCTGCCTTTCACTCATTGGCTGCTGGAGATAAATGGATGGATGGATGGACAGACGGATGGATGGATGGATGGTAGTAAAATTATTTCAATGTCGTTAACATCAGAAGGCAGATTTTTACAAACTAACATTTTATTAAGGGAAATATTTCCATAGTCAACCTCTTTTAGATTGCAGGCTGCTTTACACATTTAAAACAAAAGCATTGCTTCATCATGGGCTGCATTTGATGACTCCTGATATCATTACTTACTTAGTTTCCCATTGTTCTTGTCTTAAAATGTGATAAACACTTTTAAGTCCTCCTTATTTGACATATTCCTTTCTGTTTCTTCTCTAAATGCCTACTTTGTGAAGTCCTCTTCCCTTCAAATCAAACAATCAATCATGCAGGGCACCACTGAGTGACAAAACGCTCACTTTTTAAATCCTTTTTTTTATAACTGGGGAATGTGCATCAGCCCACCACTCAAGCTTTCTCACAGACTCCCCTTCTCCAACCACCCTGGGCAACTGTCACCTTATTTTTCATGAAAAAATGCCACTATCCATTAATCTTCCTCCTCAAGGTAGTGATTATTCTAAAAAGACAGGTTGCGCACAGGTGCAAATCTAATTCTGGTTTTAATATAAAGAGACTTAGATTCCTGCTGTTTCCTTTCCTTACCTTCATTTTTTTTTTACTTTTTTAAATCACACCATCTTTGGTTAAACAGAAAAGACAATTAGCATGATTTAAAAATAGCACCAAGGTGTCATATCTTACTGAACAGGTTGTCTTGTCTCCCTGTTACTATGCAACAGTTAGCACCTGTTGAATATGAAAAATTAAAATCAGAGAAAAACTCCCTCTGCTCACAGTTTTCTAATAGGTTTCCCTTTTTAATTCAAAAAAGAAACATTAAAAAATGCTTATCCATGCAGTTGTTATATTAGCTCTTTTACGAACTCATTAAACTGGCATCTCCTGACAGAGCACAATAAGGCAAAGGTTCATTTGCAATAAAGCATCACAGGCTTTTCAGTTTATCAGCTGCAATCAATACGACTCTGTGGATAGATATGGCTCTCCTCTGACACCGTATTCTCCGAGGAGCGTTTAGGACGGCAGTCTGACTGCTCCTACACACTTAGTTAGGTCAGAGCTCAGTGTCCGCTGTTGTGTGTCCCTCCGCTGGGAACATTTGCATGCCATGTCATTGCAGGTGTGAAGAGATTTAGATGGGTGTGAATTGGTGTGCAGAAGGTATATCAGTGTGAAGTTCAAAGAAATGAGAAGGGGTGGGCCATGTGTCACATCTGTCATCCTGCAGGCAATTAATTACACTGATCTACCTCATAACCTTTTGTTTGTTTGGGCCAAAACCCTGAGGCTGACAGAGATCCAGGCAAACACCAAAAATAAGGACCAAAAAAAGGGTGATTGACACATGCACAGAAACAGCAATCCTCTCATACACACACACAGCAATCACTGCTGATTGGCTGTGTCAGGATAGACTCTAACATCTCTGCTGAGCCTGAATTCAAACAGAATGTGGAGAAGAGCTGGAAGAGAGAGGAAGAGGGGGGGAGGGGGGAGGGGAGACACCACCGAGGAGGGAGAGCGGTAAAGAGGGAATGCAGGTAGTGGTGGTGGAGTGGTATGGAGGGGGGCAAGGGCAAAAATGAAGTGAGCCAGAGCAATTTTAACCAAATCCATCAGACTGGACAGTTCTGTTTTGGGAATGATGGAGGGGTGTAGGGATGGGAGGAGATGGAGGGGAAACAGGTGGAGCACTGGCAGGGTGAGTGGGTGAGACACAGGAAAAACAGAGGGAGCCCCTAAGAAGTACAAAAAAAAAATAAAGGTTGTAAATAAAAACTATAATGAGAGGTAGATGAGTTAACTGGTGAGATGTGGCACATTTAAGAACGATGAGGATGGAGTGATGGAGGTGGGGAGGATGAGGGGGAAGGGGAGAGACACTCACCCATTTCAGCGGGCTCTCCTCAGGCAAGCACAATCCCTGCTCTGTGATCCCATCCTGGGGAAAAGGCGCAGCGAGATCCTGGAGCTCCCTCCGCTGAATACCAATGGAGCTGCTATTATCAGCTTACACACACTGACTCACACACACCCCGGCACTGAGGAAGAGGCACAAACGCACAGTCAAGTCTGGGCTGCTTGTTCAAATCAAAGGGGGAAAAATACTATTTGACACTGCATGTCACAACAGAAAAATCATTGGTGTGCTTCCCCTTTTTTTTTTCATTTTATCTGGTTTCTTGATGGAAAAAAAAGCCATCAGAAGCAGCCTGAAACATTCATTCAAACACGCTCCTTCCCTGCCTGTGTCCGTACTTACTGAGAGTATATTTAAAATCCCTCTGAGTCCCACCGTTGACTCTGTTCCGGCTCACAGCTCTCCTTCCAAGAGAGAGAAACGAGTTGTCCGTTTTTGATTTTTTTTTCCTTTCCTTTTTCTCCCGGTGGTTTCCTTGCAACACTAATGCAGAGATACTCGCTCATTAAGGCAAATACTTCATCCTTTATACATGGTATCCATCCAGATTTTCTTTGTCAGTTTGTTGATTTAGGTCCAGTCCATCCGCCGTCTTGAGGACTTTGCTGTGATTCTGCGTTCACTCAGTCACGCTCCCTCTCTGCTCAATAGTACAGCCATACCTCCTTGGCTCTCTCCAATCTAATCAGCTCTCTCACTCTCACACACACACGCTTCCCTCTCCCTCTTTTCTCCTTCCCAACACCCACTCCTTTACTCCTCTTTTCTCGCTCCCTCCAAGGTATTTTTCTATAAGATGAATATTTGCCCCCCCTCTCTCCTCATCCTTTCTTCTTTCTGTCAGTTCATCTGATAAGGCGTTTGAAACAAGGGCATGACTGCTCATAAAGAGACAACCCACATCTGAGGCATCTCCACACATCTAGCGTATCGTTGATAGGAGGAAATCAGGGAGATGCGTTACAACCTCGGCCAGGATGAACTGGGCTAACAAAGTTTGACGTGGCTCCATGCTCGGGGTGACAAACACCATCAAACCACCACACGACTCGCCTCATAGCCGATCTACGCACACAGAGTGAATCAATGAGAGCACTCTTACAGCTTCACAAATCTTAACAGTAAAACCCAGAGGTATTTATACCCCTGCTTCACTTAGATTTAAAGTCATGTTTTGATACTACCAGCATATTTGTTCTGACATTAGGTACTATTGACATTTAAGAGTTTCTTTGCAACTCTAAAATGTGAAAAAACTGGAGTCTGATGGCTCTGAAGATTAGATAATGTATTAATAGAATAGAATAGAATAGAATAGAATAGAATAGAATAGAATAGAATAGAATAGAATAGAATAGAATAGAATAGAATAATCCTTCAGTGGTCAGTTGCAAGTGACAAAATTAACACCTATAATTATGTTTTATAACAGCCACAACAGACTTTACAGCCAGAATCCACAGATATTAGTGACTAAAATGCACACAACAATGTTACCTCTCTTTAAAAATGTTAATGTATTTTCAGTCTGAAAATATATACATAGACCTAATGGGTGACGAGTATTTGCAGGTTTTGACAAAGGATTAATGCTTTCAAACTTTGTTTTTAAGATGTTTGCAGCATTCAACAGCTATTGAGTTTAGAAACAATTTTATTTTGGGCTTAAGATTTAGTAAGTTCATTCAAATCATACCACAGTAGTGGATCTAAATAATTAAGTCAGTGTACTGCATGTATAGCTCACCCCAAACATAAAAAGCAATCATATGACAACAGTCAATAACCAGAGCAATAAACAGACTAAGGGGAAGCTTAAGTGGCTAAAGGAAGAAATTAAAGATTTAATTAAAATGGAAAAGACTTTTGGAGATCTCTACACATTTTGAGACTCTATATCAACATTGTACTTAGCTTTATAGAAGTACAACCTTTCTGTATGCTGCCAAGCTCTGGAGGAGCACATCTGATTAAGAAAAACCTGTTAGGATGTACAGCAGCCCAAGCCTCCAGCTTTCTTTGAACTGGCACTTGCGAAAAAATATGGTGTCCAGCCCATAAAAAAGGGTGTTTTACACCAATATGGAGGGGAAAGTTGGTGACCAAGACAGAAGTCCCTGATCCAAAGCCAACTCCCTCAGCCTGGATCTAAATCCACTAATGACAGTAAGTAATCGTACAGCTACTGAATAAAGTAAAGTAAGACCAAATTTAACTTTTGGCAGCAATGAAAAGAAATGTTTGGAGTGGTATAGTGGACATTGTACTGTGAGGCATGGTGGTGGCAGTAACATGCTAAGGAGCTACTTTCTCAACAGCAGAACTGATGTATGTCACTGTTGTTAGCCTTAAAAAAAATATGACAGAAAATCTTCAAAAGTTGCAGGCATTTTATTGGCAAACTCCTGAGTAACAAAAATGTATCTGTTTGACATAAACTGCATAATCATTTAACAGCAAAAAGCAAATAAATAAGTTCTTAAACAAACTGGAAAAATGAATCACTTTTCAGAGAAACCGGTTTGTTATTTTTTAAGAGAGCGTTGCAGATCCCCTGATGGAGAATAAAAATGTTTTCATATTACTGAAATAGGGGAAACTGTTTTAATGAAAATGCAAAATGATAATGTCAGCTCCAATGATTGTAATAATGAAAACACAGCAGGACGGGTTGTAATGAATTTTGAACTGTGTCATTTGAACTCTTGCTTTGCATTGTGCATACATGCCATAGTTTTATACGCACCCATAGCATCATTACTCCTCTCACCAGAGCGCTCTGACACTTAATGCAGGACACCGTTGAATGAAGCTGACACCCTTTGCAGTGTTTATAATGTAAAGTCATATAAGGCACAGCTTCACAACAGCATGCACCAACAGCAAGTAGACAGCAGCCTGCAGTGACGCTGCTCACACTATGCGTTGTTCCATTTCCCACCTTCATCACCCGGCATTTCCAGTCCCCATAGCTGCAGCGGGATCCGAGGCTCTCTGCCCAGTCCGAGTTATGTTTTCGATATAGATCTTTTCCTTAACCTTAACCCCCATGAGCTCTTTGTGTCCTCTAAAGCTATTAAACCCACCACAGCGTGTTGAATCATTGATTTTGTCACTGCACATGAGGTGGCTTTTTAATTGCTAGAGTCAACACTCTCTTGGCTAACAACTGCATTTGTGAGTTATGCTTTAAAGAGATAATAAGTCATAACATCCAATCAAATTGTCAGACCAGCACCAGAATCTATTAGTAATCAACTCCCATTCATTATTTGAACGCAGAGCGGCATGGTGTGGCTTCTGTGTGTCTCCAGCCGGAGATGGGAGCCTTTGGAAAAATCAAAACTGGTTTGTCCACCAAGCTGTCGCCTAATCAAACGAGGAAGCAAAAATAGCATGTGACAATGCTGAGCTGTCTCCTCTATTTTGCTTTCAAATGGCCTCCGCCCCCACACCATTCATCATCATCATGTTTTCACCTATTCACTTTGCATCTCGTAAAATAATGCGCATCTCAAGATGTCTGTGTCCAGTGGGCGGACATTGCTGGATCACCTATTACTCACTCATGCTTGATCCTATTAGACTGCAGCCATGTCACGCAAGTGTTTCCCTAAGGTTACGCAGGCTATGTGGTGTGTCTGTGTGGACAGTGGGATGCATCTGTTGCTCAAATGCTCAGTTCGTAGGTTCAAAATAAATTTTTTTGGAATAAGCACATGGATTGCTTATGTCTGTAGGGCTTTGAAGGGTGCCGAACGCAGCCTTACCCCCGGCTGTGACCCTCAGCTGCAGTTTTCAGGGAGTCGGGAGGAATCTCCATGGGCTGTCTCTCCCATTCCATCAAACACGCTGACACACGGCCTGCAGCACCAGGGTGTGTTTGTTCGAGGTCTAATTCTCCCTTAGACTAATTTTTCTCTACTTCTTCTTTTAAATTCTGCCTTGCTAAAGGTTTTATATAAATCAAATGTTTTTTTCAAAAAATTTTTCACATTAAACCACAAACTTCTGTGTATTGTAGGAATTTTATGTTATGGATCAAATAAAAGAAGTACATAACTCTCAAGGGGAGGAAATACGTGGCCTTTAGAATTCATTATTAAAATTATCTAGGATGCGGTGGGACTCAGTCATTAAAACACACACATATATTCTTCGTTCATTCTTTTATTTGTTCACTTGCTAACCATAACCCCTCACTTTAAAGATCCAAACACAGAGGCCAAAATAAAAAAAATTTGAAAAATTAAGCCGTTTCTAAAGAGTTCTTTAACTGGGTTTTAAAAAGACCCAGTTTGGGCGATAGCATCATGGTCCAAAGGAAGCTGGTTGCAATGTGCTGATGTCAAGAGTCATTTTAGCATTTTAGCTGCGTGTTTATGATGTGTAAGCTGACTGGAAGATCTCAGTGACATTCCACTCACACAAACACTTAGAATTTCATATGGATAAGGATGCATGAGGCTAGAGATAGATTGAACTTTTTTTTAATGAACTGGGAGCCAATGTTAAGCATAAAAATTGCAATAATGTACGACACTGGGAGTTTTCTAGTTGTGTTTTAAACAAGCTGAAGGTGATTTAGGTTTAGAGATATAGACAACATAATAATAACAGAATCAGGTGATGAAAGCATGAATGGCATTTCCCAGGTCAGCACAATTGGAGAAAGGTTCAACTTAATGACATTCTAAGGAGTTAACACAATCATTTCAATCTGAAGGGCTGAAGCAGGAACACATCTGAAACATGTAGTACAATGGTCCCCAAGGAAAAGGGTTTGGCTTTAAAATGAATTTTGCAAATATGCTTGTTTGTCGAGACACTTCCAAAAAACTATAAACCAGTATTAGTCATGGCCAGAATTTTCCAGCTGAGCTGTGGATTTCTGCAGCTCCTCCAGAATATCAATAGGTTAGCTTGTTTGCTCCTCTGATTAATGCTTTCCTTGAATGACCTGTGAGTTGAACTTTATTTGTTATGTTTTCACTGCAACATTGCTTTTTCCTGACCTGTGTAGAGTGTGCGGTGTTTCTCGGCCTGTATTCATCAGTCCAGTAATGCTCTCTAAAAGCTAAACATTTTCTTTATCTTCACAGTTATGCACCCATGTATGTCTATCTATCTCACAAATAATAAAAAACACTTTAAGGTCAATAAAACTCCAATTTATATTAAATTGTGACTGAATCTATTAGATAAGCATTTTATAGAGAATGAATTTAATATTGAACAATATAACTTCCATTAATGGAATAAAGACGTTCGCTTTTACAATTAATGGCTGTTAGGCCTTAGTGAATCCAGTGAAATTCTGCTGTCACTCTCTGTTCTCCACTCTCTAAATATGCATTCAACAGCTGTCTCTCTCTCTCATCTCCATCCCACACCACTTTGCTCTTGACAAATTGATGTGCAGCACTTTTACATAACAACTAACTAATATACACACAGACGCATGCACACTTAAAACCCCATCCACTGAATAAATGTGACCCTAACTCAGCCATTACACATACACTGAGGAGCAGGTGTTAAAAGCCCAGTGTCTGCCATCGCTAATGCATGTTTGTATTTCCTTAATTTTATGTTTGTTGAACACAAATGCAGTTCCGTTGTTAACTATTGCTTGGTAAGCATGAAAAGGAGGGGAAGTAAAGGGAAGAAGTAGACCAAAGGAGGAGGTGGGGGGGATTGACATT